GGATGCCTACCAAACCCCTCGGTGCTTCAGTTTTCTCCTCTATAAACTGAGGATGACAATAATAAGATACCTACATTCTAGGGTGGCGCACTAAGTATGTCAATATATAAAGGACTTAGGGGAGTACATCTTCGTTTTTATTAGGTGGTTGCTTGATCAGAACAGCAAATAAAAATGTTTTTAATATTATATGTCAGGGAAAAAGAATTTCCTCTGCCCTTCAAAGTCCTTCTAGCTAGACTAAGAATCCAACTGACATGAGGCAGATTAAAAGGAGAAAATAAATCTTACTTTCATACATACGGAGAATCCACACAGACATGAAATTCCCCAGTCAGGCAAAATGAGGTATATATGTCATCCTGAACTAAGGAGAAGTGGGTAGGGGTCTGGGATTTCAAAGGGAAGGAATGCAATTCACAGAAAGATGAAAAAAGTAAATGGTAAACAAATGTTTGCTGAGCCACTCAGAAATAATGGGACATAGAGGACTTTGATCAAACAGAGGTCTTGCTACATTCCTGCCTGTCTAGGGTGTCTAGTTCATATTATTGTATAGATATCTATGGTGAGTGCTCTCTTCTTGGAGCAAGTCCTCTATCTAAATTCTGGTTAGGCCCTTGATGGGGAAAACAGGAGCTTTTCCTGAATCTGCTGGGTTTTGACTGGTTTCAGCTGAAAATAATCTTCATGCCAAAGTGGTCCATCTTGAGGCAGCCTGCCCTTGGCCCCTACAATACCAAAACCAAAAATGTAAGTGGGGACTAAGGATACATTTTTTAATTGGCAGGCCTGAGACATCCTTTCTTTGGTATCATCCCATCCCTTAATTCTCATGGCTCCATTCCTGCCTGTGGTGGACAGCTGTAATGTTTCCTTGGTATTCCATGGCCCCTGGTTAGGAGAAATGATAATTTTGCTCAGATTAAGCCACTGAACTAAAGCAGTGTTCTCAACTGGGGATAATCAATCTTGGGCCCACTCCCAATCCCTAGGAGACACTTGGAAAAGTCTGGAGACATTTTGATTATAACAACTGGCACAGGGATCCCTGGCCAGGGATGCTGCTTGACATCCTACAGTACACAACAGTCACCCACAAGAAAGGATTATCCACAATGTCACATAGTGTCAATGTTGAAAAACCCTCACCTGGAGGGTAAAAGGGAGTTGGAGGAAGGAAACAGAGACAGAGCTGATGAGTAGGCACATGTTGCCTTGTTCTCCCAGCTACGCTGGGTTCTTGACTGGTTCAGCCTAGCTTATCAAATTCAGACCGTGTGACCCACAGCTAAAGTCAAAATATATAGCTTCTGAAATCCCTGGTCTGTTTCTGTCACCTGCATAGAAGTTGAGTTCCCACATCTTCCAAACCAAGAAGTTAAGGGCTGAGTTCTTGAAAGAGCAGCTATTGAAGCAGAATATCCAAAGTTTTAAGAAATCTTGGCAGACAGAAGCAATAGTTGCCTTTTCCCAACTTTAGCAAATATACTCCCTTTTTCTTTCAGTAACATGCTCTCTGTTTAAAACAAGTTTCTCCTCTAAGCTTCAGGCCCCCAGTTCATTTCCGTAGCTGAGCAAAATTTTACTAAGGTAATGAGGGCTTCAGGGTAAAGGAAGGAAACGAAAAGGAAACGAAAAGGAAACGAAAAGTATGAGAAGCAACAATACAGAATGACAAGTTGTTAAATAAACAAGTAGGGAAGAACACTGACTGGCAGTTGCTGTAAAATTCTATCTGTCTTAGCCAGAGCCTACATCAGGAACCGTCCAGCTATCAAATATAAAAATGTACACAGGATGTCCAAGGAAACACATGTGAACAAAGAAAATTTAGCTCTTCTGTAACAATGTATAAGAATGTGTAAACCATGTGTAGTTCATGAGGCTGACAGGACTGTAAGTGAAAATGGTCCCTTTGAGGCTGCACTACCAACCAAATTCCATGAATAGGAAATTCTGAAAACAGCTGGAAACTGATTTTTTTTTCTGTTAGCTGTTCATGATGTTTCCTTTTTTGGCTTGAAATCCTGCATACTAACTGCAGCCCTCAACAAAGAATCACTCATCCACTCTCCACTGAGGAGTCAGCAACTTGTTGACAGTTTTCAAGGGTGTTTCCACATATGAGAAAATGACAGTATTTTCCATCATTAGAAATTTCCTAGTTAACTTAGGAATACACATATGTAAATAATTTGAAAATACTTTCCATTTGCTACAGACGTTCTTTCCCTTCATTTTATCCAATTCATACTTTCCACTTAGTATCTAACCCACATCCTACCAAATATAGATTAAAGCTATCCAAAGGGGATTGCAGGTATAAGGCAATCCTTTTTTTTTTTTTTGTGGCTTGTTTGTTTTTTTGTAAGTAGGCTTCACACACAGCACAAGGTCAAACACCAGGCTGAACATGGTTCCCAGGGTGGTGCCTCAAACTCAAAACCCTGAGATTAAGACCTGAGCTGAGATCAAGAGTCAAAAGCCTAACCTGTGTGCCCCTACGGGGCAATCTTTTTTAAGGTACCCTTAAATTCATACAAATGTGAGCATTCCCCCTTACAATACAATTTACTACCGCAAGTCTTTGTGCACATTCAAAATGCTATTTAAATAAAAACCTTTGTATGCACAATTTCTCAGGTAAAGTCAAATATACTTGTATGTTAATTCCTTCTTTAAAAATCAAGGAATGGCTGGATAATAATTATACTCTATTTAACCACAGACTGGGAAGTGAGTCAACAATTTTTTCAGCATTAGCACTGGAATAGGACTCAGTCTGTGAATGAAAAAGAAATTGCATCAGCAATTCTAGCAGAAGCAATAAAGCAGGAGGAGAGAGGCCAGACTGCTTTTTTTCTTTTCCAGAAGTCAGATAGTATTGGCACCAACCACTCAGATCTTGTGATCCATTGCTCTGGATTACTTTAAACAACTTGACAAGTTATCTGTTTCCGTCATTACTAATGGTAATTTTGGTCATTAGCAATAATCACCCTACTAAGGAACCTCCACAACCACCTCTTTTGTTCTGACAGTGTCAGCTCTGCAAGGTTGGAAATCAGTTTCCACACCCCCTGAAGATGGCTACCAGACACATTTTTAAAAAATAATTGGGGCAGGGGTAGGGGGAGAGGAAGCTGGGGATTGCCTTAACTGTTTGGAAATTTACTGAACAACTACCACGTACGAGGCATTACACATATAGAGGCAATGGAATCCCCTCTCTAGGAGAAAACAGACATGTTATCCAATAGTTTACTACTTCCCTCCTCAAAAATTTTAAATATTAAACAAATTCAGTTTTAGTCTACTTCCTCTCTCTGGCTTTTCCTTTGGTCAGTGATGTTGTGTCATTCTGCCGATATCAGATTATAGGGCCAATATGGGTGGTTGGTATGGGGGATGTCATTAGTATACAGCTCTTATTTTGTTAAAACTCATTTTCTTGATCTTTAAAGAATTGGGAGAGACTACCTTCATTATACTGTTCTGCTGGAACTAAAAAGCAAAATGAACACAATAAAATAAAGGATATGAAAGTACTTTGTAAATATAAAATATTACAATGTATTGTATAATGCAATATTGAAGGAACAAATTTTATTTAAAAATATAAAATATAAACTGCCAGACTTAGGGCTCTCCATGATATAATAACCAGTTTTAATAAGGACAAAACAGTTTTCAACATAGATTGCATAGTCATGTATCTTTTTGATGTGAGCAGGAACTAAAGATCATACTCACCATAAGAATTTCTCGTGTCCTCTGACCCAACAACTGCACAAACCTACATTTCCAAAGTAATGACACTGAACTATTATTTATAAAGCATACTTTCTCTTTTCTTATTTTTTATCTTCCAGGAAGATCAATGGGTTATGATGAGTTACTCATTTGTGTCTACAGAATCTAGAGAAACATGATTTCATGCAAAAGTACCTAATCCCCAGGGAACCACCCAAACTAAAGTAATCTTCAAATTACTTGAGCATTCTGAATTTAGCTTTGACTTCTGCTACCCATGGTCCAAAGGGAGTATTTGTCTCTTTCCACCTAGGCTGCACCATGGCCTAGTAGTTACTCCAAAATTCTCTTCTTATAAAGACTAGATGTGCTAAATAGACTTCCTTTAAACTGTTAGAAGCAAAGAAAAGCAGGCTATTCACAGAATCACCCATGAGTACAAGCACACCTCTTTTAATTGCACTTTGCTTTATTGTGCTTCATAGATACTGCACTTTTTACAGATTGAAGGTTTGTGGCAACCCTACATCAAGCAAGTCTATTGGTACCATTGGTATAAAATATTCTTATATGAATCAGTAGTTCAAAATATCCTAGATCAAGCAATACTAGTAGTGTCTTAAAAGGAAGTTCTCAAAATTCACTATGATATTTGATTTTCAGAATGCTTAGTCTTTATAATAGTATTTTTCAAGGTGACTAAATATTTTTTTAATTTCTTTTTTAATGTTTTATTTATTTCTGAGAAAGAGAGAGAGAGACAGCGTGAGCAGGGGAGGATCAGAGAGAGAGGGAGACACAGAATCTGAAACAGGCTCCAGGCTCTGAGCTAGCTGTCAGCACATAGCCCGATGTGGGCCTCGAACCCACAAACCGTGAGATCATGACTTGAGCTGAAGTCGTACGCTCAACCGACTGAGCCACCCAGGCGCCCCTCAAGGTGACTAAATAGTTTTTTTATTCTACAGGGAAATGTCATTCATGAACCATCAGTTAAATATTCATTTTTTTTCTAGCCAGATAAAACACCTATTTTAAAAGGCTGCTGGTATTTGGATAGCTGTCCAAAACTGGTTTGATTATTTCATACATTATCTAGGGAAGAAAGCAATTTTGTAACCAGAAATAGATAACCTACAAAAACAAACAAGCTCTTAAGCTACCAATGGGCTCTAAGATTTAAAAATAAGTATAAAAGAAAATGCTACTTTTTATGGAAAAGTTTTACTTTATTTTGTAAAAAGTAATGTTTTGAGTATATTTATTCTTTCAAAGTAATGCAAGTACAATGATAAGCATTGAGTAGAGAGTACCCTGCTTTATGAATTTATTTGTAATACATTGAAGGCATACTGCATACTGAAGGTAGAAATATGGGATCCAATTATAAAACTTAACATGTAAGAGTAAACACATACAACTGAATAGTTGTGGAAAAATAGAGGATTAATCAAAATATTCTGTTTAAAAATATTAAGTTCAAGTTACATGGGAATTTTATGCATAAAAATCATATCATAGTCAGAATGACTCTTCAGTGGTCATTCCTGAGAAACAAATAGTAACTTTAGTTAAGAGTTAATGTTTAACTTCTTTTTCAAAGTACTTTCAAAACTTCACTTATTAAAATTAAAACATTTTAACAATTTATTCTCAAGACATGTTTTATGGTTCTCATTCCAAGACATCTTGTGATGTATAAATAAATCTGCTACCAGAAAAGACTAAGGGAAAAAAAAAACCAATCTAGGAAAGAAAATAGTTCAAGTCAAAGTGTGATCTTTAATTACTCTTTTTTTCCTCCTCATATCTTCAGGCTTCTGAGACTGAAAGTAACCTGTGGGGAGTTCACCTTGGTCCACATTTTCTCTCAAATTTCTCTTGGCTGGGACACAGCACAGGGAAGCACTAACGCCACCCTCTCTCATCCTATTTCACCAGACGAGAATACTAATCCCACTCTCATCCCTGGGCAGCAATGAGTAACATTAAAGAAGTGCCTAAAGTCTGTAATTACTCAGCAACAAAGTAGACTTCTCTAGTGGTGGTTCTGCTGTACTGTTTTACTGTACTGTACTGTTTTGTTGCCTTAATACCAATTAACCATCCAAAACAAAACAAAACCACCCTGAAATTCAAACTGTCAGTAGACAACCATGTCAAAGTTGGGAAAATGAAAAGTCAGGTCTAACAACTTAAAGTCTCCCTCCTCCATTCCTACTTGACTCACTTCATTTTTCCCATAATGATCCTAAAGACCAACATAAGCTTTCACCTCTACTGCCCGAAGAAACAGCGCCACTTACTTGCACCATATGGTCGGGCGCTCGGGGAGGTGAGCTGGCAGTCGGGAACCCACTTTTCTGTCAATCAGCCTGGCCCCGCCCATTTTCAGTCCGCGCATGCGCGTCAGGGACTTCCGGGGGCGGTGCTAGGGATCCCGCGGGCCGCGACGCTGACCCGACAGGTGGGGAAGAACCTGCGGCGCACAGTGGAGTCCGCTTCAGTTTTATCACTCGGGGTGGTGTGGCCTTCTTGTCGGAGAGCAGGACCTTGGCGGGAGGTGGGTGCGCCGCTCCGTTTTCAGCAGCGCTCCCGGCCCCACGGGAAGCCTGGGGCTGGCCTGGCAGCACGGTGCCCGCTGACAACGGGGCCTTTGGCGGCGCAGAGCGCTGCGTTACCTTTCCGCCTGAAGACTGGAGGGCGCTGGCCGGAGACACCCGGACAGACGCGGAGTTCTTGACTTTAATTTGGGTGCTGGTGGAAGGGCCCCTAAATCTCACTGGTTTAGGACCAGTCTTACAGTTCACACCGTCTTCTTCTTCATTGAAAGCTATCTGTCGCCTGTGGATACAGAAGCATGTCAATGTCAGCATTTACAGGCTTGATAACTCATGAAAACGTCCCCAAAGTGTATCTTCAGAGTGAGCAAAATCGTTTTCATCAAGAATTTGAGTCAAGAGGTTTATAGGGATCAGGTATCTCCTCTTCTCGTCCCCCACCGAGGTCAATAAGTAAATTACCAAGTTTACAAAAGATTGTTTCTACTTGAATATAAACTATTAAAATCACCATAATGTTTTCAAAAATGAAATCAAATCACCATGTTAATACCAACGACAAATTAAATTTTGTAATGTTACATTAGAATTATATAGTATATCACTTGGTTCCTAAGAATCCTCACAGTGATCCAGATGATAACCAGGTGGATACCAAGTTGGGTTCCCCCCTCCCCAGTTTTAAGAGATTTACTGAGGAAATTTACTGACAGTTTCACAAACTCTGAGCAATGCTACTGTATATTTTACTCTCCTCTTAAAACTTTACAATCGATATTAATAAAAGTTCTGAGGTCTAAAGACACCTGTTTAATTTTGTTGGATCCACATTTCCCAATATGGAAACCGTTTCTGTGAAATGCATTTTGAGAATTGCTAGAATGGTCAAACCCATGGTATAGTCAGATGCTTTTTCAATTTGAGAAGTATTGAACAAACCTTCAAAGCTTCCTGAATTGAGTTTGCCATTCATTATAAAAAGTCTAAATGGGAGACAATGTTTCATTTTTTTAATTAAAAGTCTAAATGGGAGACAATGTTTCATTTTTTTAATTAAAGAATTTAAACTTAAATTTAAAAAAAAACCTAGTTTACCTATTTCTCACCTACACCCCAACTATGGCAATCACCAATAAGTTCTCTGTATCTACCAGCTTGAATTTTTTTTAGCTTCATTTATTAGGTCACATGGTTATTTGTCTTTCTTTGGCTTATTTCACTTAGCATAATGCCCTCAAGGTCCATCAATGTTGTCACAAATGGCAAGATTTCATGCTCTATAGCTGAATAATACTCCTCTGTATATATATATGTGGTGTATACATATATACATATGTACATATGTATACCATATATATACCACATATATATGTATATATACACACACACAGACACACATCTTCTTTATCCATTCATCCATCAATTGACACTTAGGTTTTTCCATATTGTAAACAATACCACAAAGAACATGGGGTGCATAGATCTTTTCAAGTTATGCTTTGCATTTTCTTTGGATAAATGCCCAGCAATGAAATTGCTGGATCATATGGTAGTTCTACCTTTAAATTTTTGAAGAATCTCCATACTATTTTCCATAGAGGCCACACCAGTTTACATTCCCACCATAAGTGTACAAGGGTTCCCTTTTCTCCACATCCTTGCCAACATTTGTTATTTCCTGTCCTTTTGATAATAGCCATTCTAACAGGCCTAAGGTGATTATCTCATGGTGGCTTTGATTCACATTTCTTTGATGATTACTGATGTTGAGCATCTTTTCATGTACCTGTTGGCCATCTGTATGTCTTCTTTGGAATGATGTCTACTCAGATTTTCTGCCCATTTTCTAAAATTTATTTATTTATTGCTATTGAGTTGTATGAGTTCTTTATATATTTTGGATATTAGTTCCTTATCAGATATATTATTTAGAAATATTTTCTCCCACTTAGTACATAGCCTTTTGGTTTTGATGGTTTCCTGTGCTGTGCAGTCTTTCAGTTTGATGTAGTCCCACTTATTTTTGCCTTTGTTGCTTTTGCTCTTTGTGTCAGATTAAAAAATCATTACCAAGACCTATGTCAAGGAACTTACTGCCTCTGTTTTCATCCATTTTGAGTTAATTTTTGTGATTGGTGCAAGATAGGGATCCATGCAAGTTTCATTCTTTTGCATGTGGATATCCCAACATCAAAAGAGACTGTCCCTTCCCCATTATATATTCTTGGCTCCTTTTATGTACATTAGTTGGCCATATATGTGTGGGTTTATTTCTCGGCTTTTGATTCTGTTCCATTGGTCTATATATCTGTTTTTATGCCAGAACCATACTGTTTTAATTATTATAGTTTTGTAATATACAGTAGTCTCCCCCCTTATTCACAGTTTCACTTTCTGCAGTTTAAGTTACCCACAGTTGACCATCATCTGGAAGTAGATGATCCTTCTTCTATCTTCAGGTCAGTAGTAGCCTAATGCTATGTCATAATGTCTATATCATTTGCATCACTTCATCTCATCACACAGGCATTTTATCATCTCACATCATCACAGGAAGAAGGGTGAGTATAGTACAGTATTTTGAAAGACCACATTCACATAGGTTTATTATGTATATTATTATAATTGTTCTATTTTATTTAGTTACTGTTACTACTCTCTTACTGTGCCTAATTTATAAACTAAATTTTATCACAGGTATGTATGTGTTGGAAAAAACATAGTACATGTAAAGTTAAGTACTATACACAGTTTCAGGCATCCACTGGAAGTCTTGGAATGTATCCCCTGTAGATGTAGATTAGGGGGGACTATGCTATTTTGAAATCATGGACCATGAGGTTTCCAGCTCTGTTCTTTTTCAAGATTGCTTTGGCTATTCAGGATCTTTGGTGGTTCCATCCAGATTTGAGGATTGTTCTATTTCTATAAAAAATGCCATTGGAATTTTGATAGGGATTGCATTGAATCTATAGATTTCTTTGGGTAGTATGGACATTTTTACAGTATTCTCCCAGTCCATGAAGACGAAATATTTTTCCATTTATTTATGTTCTCTTCAATTTCTTTCATTAATGTCTTATAGTTTTCAATATACAGGTCTTTCACCTCTTTGGTTAAATTTATTCCTAGATATTTTATTCTTTTTCTGCAGTTGTAAATGGGATTGTTTTCTTAATTTCTCTTTCTGATAGTTCTTCATCAGTGTATAGAAATTATTTTTGTGTATTAAGTTTGTATCCTACAAACTTACTGAGTTTGTTTATTAGTTCTAGCAGTTTTATTAGTCTAGTTTTAAGGCTTTCTATATATAATATCATGCTACCTGCAAATAGTGACAGTTCTACTTCATTTTTTTTAATGTTTATTTATTTATTTTTGAGAAAGAAAGCATGAGCAAGGGAGGGGCTGAGAAAGAAAGAGAATCCCAAGCAGGCTCCACATAGTCACCTCAGAGCCATTGCGGGACTGAAGCTCACAAAACACGAGATCATGACCCGAGCCAAAATCAAGAGTTGGATGCTTAACCAACCAAGCCACCCAAGCACTCCTCTACTTCTTCCTTTCTAATTTGGATGCCATTTATTTCTTTCTCTTGCCTAAATGCTCTAGCTAGGGCTTCCAATACTATGTTGAATATAAGTGACGAAAGTGGGCATCCTTGCCTTGTTCCTGACCTTAAAGGGAAAGCTATCACCTTTGCACTGCACAGTATGATGCTAGCTGTGGACTTGTCATGTATGGCCTTTATTATGTTGAAGTATAGTCCCTCTAAACCCACTTTGTTGAGAGTTTTTATCATAAATTGTTGAATTTTGCCAAATGCTTTTTCTGCATCTATTGAGATGATCATATAATTTTTGATATATCAAAACTATATGATAGATTTGTTTCTGTTCATGATAGTGATGTAGGAAAATCTTCTATTTACCTCCTCCCACAAATACACTGAGTCTACACCTACATATGAAACAGTTTCCTCTTAAAAAAACAAAAAACTAAAGAATAGCTAAGTGACAATTACATATCATTAGTAAAAGGAAAGAAAGATTAGAGCAGGGGGGCACCTGGGTGACTTGGTTGGTTAAGCATCTGACCAGCTCAGGTCATGATCTCATGATTCGTGAGTTCGAGCCCCGCATCGGGCTCTGTGCTGACAGCTTCGGATTCTGCCTCCCTCTCTCTCTGCTCCTCCTCCACTCATGCTCTGTCTCTCTCTATCTCTCAAAAATAAATAAATGTTAAAAAATAAATAAAAGATTAGAACAGAAGTAAATGGAATACAGACTTCAAAGACAATATAAAAGATCAATGACACTAAGAGCCACTAGCTCTATTGGCATTTATGGTTGGATAGGTCTTTGTTGTAGGGGTTACTCAGTTTACTCAAGGACGGTTAGCAGCATCCCTGGCCTCTACTTACTAGAGGCAAGTAGCATCTCTCACCCCACAATGTCTCTAAACACTGTCAAATATCCTTTGTGGGACAAAACTGCCCTCAGTTGAGAACCACTGCTCTGGATGCAAACAGTATTTGCTAATTGTAAGCTCAAAAAGCAAAATAAATAATGATAATAAAATGAGGGTCTTTAAAAAAAAGATCTGTTTTAACAAGAGATAATTAACTACTAAAAACTGACTGAATAAAATTCTCTGCATTTCTGTGAAAGATCCAAAGCAATCAGAGATTCCATAGGGGCATTGAATCAAATTCTACAACAGATCCTCAAGAAATCAGAACATCTGAAAACCATGAATGATTCCCAGATAAAGAAAAATAAATATGATTTTAAATGTATTTAAAGTATAGTCAAAAGCACATATGTGGAGTGAATTAGCTAATAATTTCAGAAAATACAAGAAAATATCGTTAAATAAAAATGCTATTGGTGGTGGTAATAGGAAGAAGAAATGAATTCAGAATAAATCACAGGAAATTTCAAATATTAAGTCTAATAAATTTTTTGGCTACTACCAATAAAGCCTAGGATTTCACTTCTGTAGGGAAAAATACCACAGCAGTCTCACTATGTCCACTAGTATTCTTATAATCTTACTCTTCCAAAAAGAACATACTATAACTCAGCTTTAGAGAACTATTTCCAGTTTTTACATTGTTGCAGTAACTTTGAATTTATATTTTGTTTATATAAATCTATTTATTTATATATATAATTATATATATAAAATAATATATAATTATTCTTGTTTATATAAATCTATAAACAAGATTTATATTTTGATGGTAAGGCAGAATACTCATCTAGGTGACTAATAAACTTAGTAAGATCAAGAATCATTATTCATTTCCCCAGTAAAGGCAATAAAAATATAGGTCACAGATTAAAAAAACAAAAAACAATTTCAACAAAGTACAGATAACCTCTTTCGAACTGGGGCCATGTGACGGAGGCTTCCAAGTAAAGGCCGCTCTTCCAGAGTCCAACATTCTATCAGCTCATGAGGCACCCGCCAATAGCTAACACCTGGAAGATCAAAAGGCATAATTAAGAGAGCCACTGTCTACTGCAAAATGTTCAGCAACACTTTTGTGTAAGACTAGGCAGAAAGAGTTTGAGATTCATGCCTCCCATTTGAAGAAAGCAGGTGTATGCAGGAAGTGTTCCCATGAAGAGGCAAGGCAATAGTGGAATAACTCAACCTAGGTCTAGGGAATTTGTGGCTACCAGCCCCAGCTCCACCTCTGATCATCAGTAGATCATTATATGGATTCTGAGCAGATGAGTTAAAGGCACAGGCTCTGGAGCCAAGACTGTCCACTTCTATCACTCACTAATCATGCGACCTTAGAAAAAGTTACTTAACTTTCTGTGCCTAAATTATCTCATCTGTAAAATGACAACAACAGCAAATACTTCATAGGTTTGTTGTGATGATTAAATGAGTAAATAAGTGCAAACGCTTAATATAGGGCCTATGACAGACTAAGCACTTAACAGATGTTCGGTGCCTTTATCTTATAAATTCTAATGTTGACAGTAGTGCAAGGATTGGACAGTGTCAAGACATCACTGGATTGCAGCACTCATCAAATCAGGTAAATTTTGTGAACCACTCTAAATTTTCTGTGACCACTGTATGAATATGAATTATCACTACCCTAACGGGTATTAGGCCAAGATTGTAGTCAAACTCACTTTTAATTGTTAAATCTGAGAAGTTTCTAAATGAAAGTTTGACATGTATTTTTATGACCCTCAAAAACATTATGCTGAGTGAAAAAGCCAGACACAAAAGGTCATATATTGTATGGTTCCAATTACGTGAAATACCCAGAACAGGCTAATTCATTGAAACAGAAAGCAGACTGGTGTTTGCCAAGGGCTGAGGAGAGAAGGGAATGAGGAGTAACTGCTTAACAGGTACTGGGTTTCCTTGTGGGGTGATGAAAATGTTTTGGAACTAGATAGAGATGGTGGTTATACAACATTGTTAATGCAGTAAATGCCACTGAAGTGTATACTTTAATTCTTTGTTATGTGAATTTCACCTCAATTTTTAAAGAATCATAAAAAATTATACATGCATTTTTAAAAGGCTTAAAAATGTTGAATAAAACTTGGTTGGCATTTTTTTTAAAGTAACTTTGAAGTCCCAACGATGGATATGGTGGTGTGTGTGTGTGTGTGTGTGTGGTTTTTTGTTTTTGTTTTGTTTTGAGAGAAAGAGAATGACAGCATGAGCAAGGGAGAGCGGCAGAGAGAGAGAATCTTAAGCAGTCTCCATGCTCAACACGGAATCTGATGTGGGGCTCAATCCCGTGACCCTGGGATCATGACCTGAGCCGAAAGCAAGTTGGACGCTCAGCTGACTGAGCCACCCAGGCACCCCTGGTGTCTTGTTTTTTAATCATTAAAGGTTTAGTAATAAACATTAACCAACTTAGCAAACTGGGCATATACATTACTATATGTAACAAATATATCCAATACTCACAGAGCCTATGGACCTCATTTTAAGACAAAAATTTTCTGGAACTGCTTGATCATGCTCCCAAACATACTGATGCTACAAAAGCATTCCCAAATCCCATCAAGGTTTTTGTTTAAGTCTGGTTTATTGAGATAATTTATATAAATTAAAATTCACCTTTTAAAGTACTCAGTTTAATTTGTTTTGACAAATGTATACAGTCATATAATTATAGCCACAATCAAGATATAGAACATTTCTATCACTCCCAAATTTCCCATGTATCCCTTTGCAATCAGTGCCCTCCCCTCTATTCCCTAGTTTTGCCATTTCAGGGGTGTCATATAAATGGAATCATAACAGTATGTACCCTTTTGTGTCTGGTTTCTCTAGCTTGGTATTTTGAAGACTCATCCATGTTGATATATGCATTAATGATCATTTCTTTTTATTGCTGTGTAGTATTCCATTATATAAATAAACCACAGTTTCTTTCTGAAATTTTTATTTTTGCCTTCCTATAAAATAATGCACCTTCATTGTATAAAACTTGGGTAATATGGAAGAGTATATATTAAAAAAAATCAAGATCACTTCTAATCCTAAAACTAGGAATCATGACTCATGACACTTTGATGAGTCTGACTCCAGTCTTTTTCTCATTCATATGATATGCACATAACTGAAAACACTACATTTAATTTTGTTTCCTGCTTTTCATCATTTCTTATTTCATCATGGGCATTCACATTTGTAAAAAATTATTCAAAATAATTTTAATAGCTCTTGTTCATCTGTATCCCATAGATGTGCCAATGTGTAGTAACTCTTTATCATAGACATTTATATTGTTTTTATTTTTTCTCTATTATGAATAATGTTTAATTGAACACTCTGTTCATAAACCTTTTCTGCACTGGGTTATACCTAGAAGTAGAATTATCGGGTCAAAGAATATGAACAGTTCCTTTTTTTTTTTAATAGTTTATTGTCAAGTTGGTTTCTATATAACACCCAGTGCTCATCCCCACAAGTGCCCTCCTCCACGCCCATCACTCCCCTTCCCCTCCCTTCCACCCCATCTGCCCTCAGTTTGTTCTCGGCATTCCAGAGTCTCTCATGGTTTGCCTCCCTCCCTCTCCCCAACTATTTTTCCCCTTCTTCTCACCCATGGTCCTCCGTTAAGTTCCTCCTAATCCTCCCATACGTGCAAACATATGATATCTGTCCTTCTCTGCCTGACTTATTTTGCTCAGCATAACACCCTCAAGTTCCATCCATGTTGCTACACATGGCCAGATTTCATTCTTTCTCATTGCCATGTAGTATGCCATTGTATAGATAAACCACATCTTCTTGATCCATTCGTCCGTTGATGAACACTTAGGCTCTTTCCATGTTTTGACTATTGTTGAGAGTGCTGCTATGAATGTTGGAGTACACGTGCCCCTATGCATCAGCACTCCTGTATCCTCTGGGTAAATTCCTAGCAGTGCTATTGCTAGGTCATAGGAGAGTTGTACTGTTAATTTTTTGAGGAACCTCCACACTGTTTTTCAGAGGGGCTGTACCAGTTTACATTCCCACCAACAGTGTAGGAGGGTGCCCGTTTCTCCACATACTAGCCAGCATCTAGAGTCCTCTGATTTGCTCATTTTAGCCACTCTGACTGGCGTGAGGTGGTATCTCAGTGTGGTTTTGATTTGTATTTCCCTGATGAGGAGGGATGCTGAGCATCGTTTCATGTGTCTGTTGGCCATCTGGATGTCCTCTTTGGAGAAGTGTCTGTTCATATCTCAAAGAATATGAACAGTTCTGATGCTATTGATATGTTATGATAAATTATTTCCCAACAAAGTAGTATTAATTTTACTCCTGCCAAAAATGCATGAGATCGTTACTAATCTGGTATGTAAAAAGTAGTTCTCATTTAATACATATGTCACTGATAAATGAGTTTGAAACTCCTGCCACATGCTTATTTCCCTTCCTGAAAATTTTGTGGTCATGAACCTTATACACTTATTTATAATAAGAGTTGAGTTGATTTTCTAATCAACTTAAATAAATCCTCTCTATTTTAAGGATATTCTTTGTCCAGTTAATATACTATTTTTATACAAGTTTTCATTAGCCTTTTAATTTTATTTATACTCTTTTGTTTTAAAGCTATTAAATACTATATAATCAAATTTATTCATCTTTGTCTTTATGATTTATTTCCCTATTAAGAAATCAGTTATTTGCTTAACTTTCATTATAGTTTACTATAGCTTCATTTTTCATCCATAAATTCACCTGGTATTATTTTGATAAATGATATGAGGTTAAAGTTCTGTTTTCTCCCAAGCATATTTCTCAATTATGTATTAAATCATCTGTCTTTTTTCATTGATATTTAATACTCCTTATCACATAGCACTTTTATTCTTATAATTTCATTGGGGTTTACTCCTGATCTTTGCATCTATTATTATACCAGAACCATATGGTTCTTATTATTACAAATCTATATATAGTATTTTTACTATCATAGTTAGATTTATTCCTCTAATGTCCTCTACTTCCCAAAATGTTATTGGCTATTTCACTGGCTTATTCTTTCAAGGAATTTTAGAATCATTTCCCCCAGATTGCCAAAGAGTTCCACTGACTTGTTGGTGGGGATTCTGTTAAACATATAATTTAATCTGAGAAAAACTGATATCTTTATAATGAATATTATAAAATCTATCTGAATAGATTTCCTGTTGGGGAGCATGGTAGGTCTCACCATAATCTTCATGTCTTCTTTTTTTATAGATGGATGGATGAATTGATGAATGGATAAATATATTTTATCAGTCTTCTTCACAAAAGACTTGAGCATTTCTTGATAGGTCATTCTAGTTATTTTGTTGTTATTGCTATTGTAAATGGGATTTTCCCCTATAATTTCTAACTAATCTATCATAAGTAAGCTGATCTTTGTGTTTACTTTTATTGTATCCAGCTAGTTTGGTCTACTAAATTCATCATTTAAGATACCTTTAGTTGATTCCTTTGGGTTTTCTAAAAAGACATACTATCCACAAATAACTGTCTCCTTCCTTCCAATAATTTTTTCTCTTACTTTTGTTTCCTATCTAATGGCTTTCCATAGGCCTTCCAGAACTGTGTTAAATACCACGATACTTCATTACCTGCTTATTGAAAAGTTAAAATCAGTCTCACACTCTGTAAGTCAGTGATCCCAGCTCTTCACTTCAGCTTTCTGAGTCAGTGGAGAATGAAGCCCAGTCAGGGCTCTCCCGAAGCCTTCTGGGCAGTCTGCCAGTCCGGAGGCACAATAGGAGACACAGAGAACACCAGGGGGTTTGTTCCTCAATTTAAGCCTAAGTATCTCACAAAGTCAATTAAATCTAAGATAAAAAGCTTAAGGAGAATAGCACTTTTTTTTTTTTATCTACCTGAGGGGTGTAATCTTGAGGGGGGGGAGGAGGGAAGAAGAAAAGTGAGAGGTGCAAAGTTGAGGAAAGAAAGAAGGGCAGCACCTTACCTGAAGAGAAGCAGGTGATGAAGAATTTTAAAACCCTCCTCCTGTCCTTTTATTCAGTCTTTTGTGACTTGCAATGTCTGTCTCTATCAGCTTTTAAGACCCATGTGAGGACCAAGATGTGTCTTATTTATCTGTGGGCCCAATTTTAGGACTTCTTACAGTGTTTGCAGCTCATAGACACTCAATAAATACTTGTTAATTAAGAAGAAAATCTGAAGCATAGAACAGTTAACCCTCTGTGATCCTTACGCAAGTGGCATGGCCTGAGACTCAGTTGTCTCATCGATGAAATGGTAAACAACATCCAGAATTGTTTTAAGACTAAGAGTTACTGAATGTAAACTACTTATCACACTGAATATTAAATAGCATTATTATTATCAAATGATATAAAAAGCTTGGTAAAAATGATCAAATTTCAAAGTGGGCATTTAAAGATTATTAATTCTTTCCTAAGGGTTCTTCCAACATCTTCTCTGGCATTATTTTCATTTTCTCTTTCTTTTTTTTTTTTTTTTTTCAAGATTTCAAGCAATCTCTACACCCAACATGGCACTCCATCTCACAACCCCGAGATCAAGAGTCCCAAGCTCCACTGACTGAGCCAGCCAGGCTCCCTTCCTTTTTTCTTCTAATTATACATTGTATGCTTAATTTAAAGGTATACTTCCTAAGGACCATGCTAGGTACATAGTAGGTGCTAAATAACCTCTTGTTGAATTGAACTAAAGAAGCATAACTAACAGATGCTGAAATTATAAACTATTTTTTAGGTTACTGGATTATAAACTATTAGTAATACCTAACAACTCATGAAGTCTAAAGATTTTTAAGTAAATTGCCTCAATCAGTGATACTCATTTGTCAATGAGGTGACCAATATCTTGACCTATACAAAGAAATACTTTCTCAACAAAAGAAGTGCAGCAATTGAACTTACTTTGTTTTATTATGGAAAAGTCTACCTTCTGCCATGAAATAAAAGAATTGTACTATACCTTTTCCTTCCCAGGCATCAAAGGCATCCATCATTTTCTTCAATTCAGCTACTGAATAATAGCTCCAAATGTACTGAACATTATTTCCCGCCTCTCTAGAAATATTGCAAAAGGTGAAGAAAACATACTAAGTATTAATGTGTGTGTATGTATATATATACACATATATACAGCTAATCAATACACTACCAAATACTTGTTAATTAAGAGAAAAAATATATTGTCATTGAACAGTTGTTCTTCTGCAACTCTTAAGGACATATATAGATAAAATACTATAATATACTATGAGTATAATATTCTATACTCATATACTAACCTATATTCAACCTCTTTTTAACGTGGTAAAGTACTTGTTAATTCCACAATATAGACTGTGCAGACAAATCAACAAATCTTTAGACAATAAACTATTTGTAAAAAAAAAAAAAAAAAAAATCAACAAATCCTTAAAAATAGGTTTTCTAAAAAAATTACCTAACTGCAGGAAAATTTTAAAAGATTCAACCTTGACTAAAACCTTCATAGCATTGTTCCAGGCACTCATATATCTTATATAAACATCCTGTAAAGAATTCAGAAAATGATGACATATTGAATCACCTAAAAAGCAAACTCATGTGGTCATTCATTGGTCACTAATATGTGACCCAATCCAACCACCCAGAGAATTTAAAAAACAAAACAGAACAACAAAACTATTATGTGAATTGACTGGTGTTAAATCAGTTTACAGAAAAAATATTAAGAGAATAACCCTTAAGAATTTTACATTCAAGTCATAGAATTTTAAGGCTAATAGGGACCAAGGAAGTCTTTCATTTCTCAGAACAGGACCCCAAGGCACAGGCCAATCCTGTACCACTCAGCAGGCCTGCTGACTACTAGGCAGTGCTTCTGCTCCTGGACTATGGTCTAGGGGAAGACAGCCAGGCGTGGCCTGTCAGGGGACTCTGACGCCTACTCCCAGGTGAGAGGCAATGTAGTAGACCACCATGGATGTCCTATAGCTTACATATATGTGAAATGGTCTTCATTACAATTTCCTCAGAGCAGACTTGTCTCGACAGCTATGAGGGCTCACTGTGCATGTTGCCGGGTGTTGAAGATCTTTTCTAGTCAACCACATCCATATTCCATTCAGTAACACCTCTTACAAGAGACCAAGACTTTATTTTGTTCCCTTTCATATTTAAATATGGACATACCTTTTAAAAATGCTTTTACTGTGAATTCTTCCTCCCAGCTGCTTATCAATAGCATCCGTTCCGTCAGTTTTTGTGGAATACACACCAATAATTCTACTCTCACAGCTTGCACCAGATGTGTTAAGATAGTGGAGAACCCAAACTGTTGGCTTATTGCAAACTAAACCATATGAATCACAAAAGTCTGTTAAAGCCTGGAGCAAAAAAAGTATACAAAATTTGAATTTAGTTCTGGAGTAAAGTAGAAATAAATTTGTTCTATTAGTTTCATGTAAAGCTGCAATTTCAGTTGGTCATAAGGGAAATAAAAAATTATAAATTTCAGCCTAGTCTTTACGCCTTGAGAAACCAAACATGTTTTTGTTGAATTTGGCATGGGGGCGGGGTAAATCACAAAAAGCATTACCCAAAAACCCAACACCTTTTCATCTAGAGAATCCTTTTCCACGTGGAAGTTGTGTTTTCTTTCTTCCTCCTTTAGCCTCATTATCAACATTACTTTTAATTTTAAAATCTTCATATGACTAAAAGTCAGACCTTTTTCTTTTCCTTTTCTTTTCCTCCCTATTTCCCATTTTACTCAATATTCCTTCCACCTTCTACTGACTAGGCTCCACAGTTGATGCTTTTTTTTTTTTTACTCCACATCCAATCATGAATTAACCAGATTAACTTGTTCTTTTCCACTGAAGGATACAAATACACAAACTCAATCAAACTCTAAGAACTCATTTGGCATTTATCTACCTATTCATTCATTCTCTTGAATATTAAAAAGGTACTAACGTAGTTGAGCACTGTCGAAGGTCCTATAGATAAAATCATGCACAACTGACAGGGTCCCAGGCCTCCTAGAGTTTATAGCTAATGGAAAAGACAGTCAGGGCACCTGGGTAGCTCAGTTGGCTGGGCTTCCAACTCTTGACTTCAGCTCAGGTCATGACTCACAGTTTGTGAGATTGAGCCCCATGTCAGGCTTTGCGCTGGTAGTGCAAAGCCTGCTTAGGATTCTCTCTCTCTCCCTCCCTCTGCCCCTCCCCAGCATGTGCTCTCTTGCTCTCTCGCTCTCAAAATAAATAAACTTCTAAGAAATTTTAAAAAATAAAATAAAAGACAGCCAATAAGCCATCAGCATGTAGTATAACGGTGACCTGGTGAGCCTAGGAGGTACTAAGGGGCACAGAGCAGGCGCCCTTCACCCATTCAAGTGCCCAAGGGCCTTCCCTGAAAGAAAGCATTATTCCTGTGAGGGCCCCGAGGACAGGCACTTTTGTCTGTTTTGTGTTGTATCCCAAGTGCCTGAAATAGACAAAAAGGAGATGCTTAATATTTACTCACTTGGTGAATTAAAATAGGATTCTAACACGTCTTACATTTTCATTTAATACTGCTAACTATGTCATATTTCTTTGTGTCCCACACAGTTCCTAGAGCAGTGCTCTATATAACAAAAACATTTGAGATAAATATGTGTTGGCTGACACAGTGAATGTACACATGCTATGTCCTCTCTGCATACAAATCAGAAATCAAAAGACTACAGTTGAGACTTCAGAAGATGAATGTTAACCCACTCCAGCTTTCCAGTCAGGATTTGTTAGCCCCATTCTGCAGACATGGCAAACAGCACCCTAGAACTGTCTGACAACTCAATTTCTAAATAACTCCAGTAGCAGAACCCAAACAACCATGCAAATTCCTGAAGGCAATCTGGAACCAAATCAACGGTCTCTTCATGTTACACTCCTAATAACCACACTGACAGCTTGCTCTCTTAAACTGATATCCAAATCAAACGAATTCATGTCAGTTTTCACTACTATTAATTACCTAGGAAAAAAACTTTTCTTAGATGTCCAAAGGTGCTAAAAGCAAATATAATACTTAATCAATAAGACAAAAATAGGTAAGAAGCTTTCAAGTTCTTTCATGTAAAGATCTTTAAAATGTGATTTAAAGGAGAAATATCTTTTAAAAAGATTTACTGATCTCAAAGTGAATTAATCAAACCAATGTTCTAATTAATAACAAACTGCTACACTCGCTAAATCAGGTAGATTTTCTACAATCTTTTATTTATTGTGACCATTCTTTAAAAAGTCATTTCAGTAAACAAAATACCACTACACTCTTACATACTACAATATTGCTCTGTATTCACAAAGAACCTAAAGAGCAGAATATTTCTATTAAAAAAGCCATCAAAAAGTATTAAATCGCCAACGAGAACTAAAAACTCCATAAACCTTTGAGTGGCAATGTAATACACTTTCCTAGAACATAGAATTTGGGCCTTCAGAAAATTAGTAGTAATAAAGAAATGTGTCTTTAAAAATTAGAAAAAGTAACTTTCTTATGTTTGGTTTTCATGGCAACACAGGCTATGCAAAATAACACACATTGCTTTGTATATAAAAACATACATATATATGTATACGTATGTATTTTTTTAAACTTACGAAAATGCCAAGACCTTTTTAAGTTCTATATTTGACCTTAAAGAATATGTCTCCATTTCATTGGCCAAGTGGTCAGACAGGCTGTATGGATACGGGATGCCAAAATAATCAGCCTCTTCCTGCAGAGCAACACGGGTTTGCTCATCCGTGGGAATGTGAACTTCTCCGTGAAGATAATCCAAGAGGTACTTAAATAGATGTCCATCTCGGTCAATAACACAAGCCCCTAGAAAACATCCAGTTCAAACATGACTGCAGAGATATATACGACCACAGATAAAGTTTCAACATGTTAAACTAAAATCAGACTGCAGACTTCTATAATTAGAAATGTTTCTTTCTCACAAGAAAGTTAATAACTAGTGTTCAAATGGGTTTAGCCAAATTTGGTGATCTTCTGTATTCTCACCTACCATACAGGAAAATGTATTCTGAGCTCCATGGGGGATTTTAGATGCATATACCCGCTGTTCCCTCAAAGGCCATGCTGTTCCCTCAAAGGCCATGACTGCTTCTGAAATGTAAGCTTACCCCTAACCTCAGCCTTTCCCTGGCCAGGAAGGATGTATGGAGTTCCTCCCTAAGGAGGACATGCTCATTTATGTCATGTTTGTATACTAGTCAACTTGTAGGGTCACTGACATGTAAACCCAGGGTTCTCAGCTCCAGGCACACTGTATGTTTAGACATAATAGGTTAGTCCCTTTGTACTGTGAGAACTTAAACTTTAAAAAAGAAATGTTATGCTGGTACTACTTTATGACAAAGGCTTTCTTAAACAATTTAGCAGAATTTTTAAAAAACACTTCTGTGTGAGGCTATTCAATAATTCCTTTCTCCCTTAGAAAAGAAGGGGTTAGGAGGTGAAACTTGGGGGCAGAGGAAAAACTCAATCCCTGCTTGCCATCTTTTCACCAACAATCTTTCCTGCCCACATGGGCACCAGCCATTGGTGTTTTCCATTCTTTCAACTGCCATCCAGGCAGCAAAGCAGTCTCTCAAGACCCAGGGTTACTAACAGCCTCTCATGCTCAAGACTCCTCAATCCCTCTCTTCTGACACAGAAGCAAGAGTGGGTTCTCTGAGCCTCAGAACACCAAAGATGTGTATAAAAGCCTTACTTGCGCTGCTGAGGTTTCTTTACAACCGGTAGTAGGTTCAGCAAACACCAGAGCACTCTAAGTAAGAAGAGCAGCAGCCCCAGATCCCTACCCTTGTGTTTTACAGTTTCTTCTGGAAAACCAATTTTCAGTCCTCTACCACTAGGTGACTGCTGTTTACACTGCACTGACATTTTCACAGGTGTCCATGTCAGCCCACACAAGGTTACACAGCTAGACTGGGTGGCAAGTTTAACACTAATTGTACATTATAGTGACTGCCCTGTGAACTGTGAGGGCAGCTGCCTTCTCCAGAGAATAAATGTTTTAACTGAAGAACACAGAGAGAAGCCTCAATACCTTTACCTATGGGAGCTGCATGAATGTAACAACTTTCAAAGTATAATCAGTCCCCATATTTAGGTCATAGTATACCTTAACACACATCGATTTTTTTGTCAACTTTTAGTGACAGCATCACAGATTCTGGAAACTAGCATTTAACTTCTTCGTGTATTTAATAAAACTCCATACAGCCCTAATGATCTCAATAATTAGCATACTAGTCTAATACATTCATTGTAATTATTAAAACCAAAGGGAATTTAAACTAGATTATTTTAATGAATATCCGTGATCATGCTTACAGACTTTAGTTATTTACCTGATTCATCTGTTTTTAGAGGAAAACGCCCACTAAACATGGATGCCAGCATCGAGTCTTTAAAACGGCACAAGGACTCACGTCTGGCTGTGTAAATACAGCCACCCACATTCAGTCGAAGAATGTCTACCACTTTTTCTTCTGCCTTGTGACCTTCCATTGCTCCCATCAACACCTGAATTTTTGCTCTGAAATAGTTTCAGAAACTGCAAAATAATGGTGGCCCTGGTCAACCTCTGTAAAAACAAAGGACAATCACACTTCCAACAATATACTAAATAGATGATAAAATAAATACATCTCAATGTGATTTAAAATTAGCTCCTCAGCACTGACAATACTGGATGACTTTATATAATATGAAAGAAGTTTGAGATATGCCAAGAAGCTGGAAAACTTTGGCTCAGGGTACTTTTAAATGATAAACTATTACCAACCAAATCATAACTGTTGAAATGACTATTTAAAGAATTAAACAAGGTAATGCATTGTCTGTCACATATAAAGCAAAGGTGAGGTTTGCTTATGTTCTTCAATATTGACATAGCTTTTTAAACTATAGTAAGTCTGAGGGAGCTATCTAGACTGCAGAGAGGGTCAGCACATAGCATGGAATTAGGCTACTAGGCTCTACCACTTATTAGGGACCTTGGGCAAATACTTATCTTCTTCTGCCTATTTCGTCATCTATAAAATGGAGCCAAGGATGGTGCCTATGTCAAAGGACTATCAGAGGAGTAACTCACAGGACATATAAAAAGCACATAGAACAGTCTCTGGCACAGAGTAAGTACTCAATAAATGATATATATTATCTATAATGATATAAATTTTACTATAAGGTATATACTGAGGGATTGACATTGGCTCTGTAGATTTAAGGAAACATAAGAACAGAAATTAATAGTAATTCCTAGTTAGGTAACTAAGAAATATATAATTTATCAACAGATCAGAATTCTGTATATCCCAGTAGCCAGAATGGCCCAAAAGAGCAACAAATAACACCTCTAAATCATTTGGCATCTTAATTCCAAAATGAATGAAGCTTTAGGGAAGTTTTAAGGATTTGATTTCTTAATCTATTCTGGAGATGGATGAACCACAGGTGACTGTTGTTTCTCTGGAACCTAAAACAATACTGTGATGAAAAAGGTACTCCTGATGTAACTGTGCATTTCATTGCAAATGCAAAACGGCTGCCAAAAGACTCAACTATATCCATGGCAACTCACTTTTACTAAGCAATCAACTAGGATCCTTTTGTAGATGATCTAATTTAGCCAGCCTCCAATGAGATGGGAAAAGGAGTCCGTTGGTGCCTGATGAAAACAATATGTGTCAAATATGGTCAGTAAACAAACTTATGGATCAACAGTCCAGCCTTCAAAAACCACTTATCAGCATGACTTCTTTTGCTGCCTCAAAGTCCTAGGAGCAGCCCCGCAATGATCCATGTGAGAGAACCACCTCCGAAGCACGGGATGGAACTTGCTCATGCTGCCCCAGTTACCAGCTCCCTGGAATCCACCTATTCTTCAAAGCCACAAGCAAATCTCACAAGTTGCATGACCTTCCCAAGCACCCCTCACCCCCACCAAATATACTTTGTAACTCTCTTCACGTTTTTCTCATCTATTTAATCCCTAGTTTGGGAGACTATAGCCCTGGGAAGACAGAATCTGGATCACTCTTAATTCCCATTTGCTCAATGCTTACCATGTGACAGTTACTGCAGAAACACTTACTAGACATTACCTAATTCACACAAAAGCTCTATTGGATAGTAATTAACTGTCCCTATTGACAGATGAGGACACTGGAGAAAGAAATAGGGATGTGAGCAGGATCCACACTAGGGCTACCCTGCTGGTAAGTGGCAGAGTCCGCCCCAATCCAGGTCAGCAGGACCAGCTCCAAGTTTTCTGCTGCACCCCACACTGTCTACTTCAGCACTGTTTCATCCCTAAGGCTGCTGACCCAGGGAATTCACTCACTAAGCATCTGTCCACGTGAAGACTCCAGCTATGGCAACAGGAACACAATAGCACCCTGAGTGCAAAGATCTAAGAGACATCCCCGGTCTCAGTCAGTTTCTCCTAAGGCAGAGGACCATCCAACACCATTTCCAGGCCAGTCCATGGCCCCATCCTCAATGCACCCACTTAGACTCCCTGCTGTGTCGGAAATGCGCTGCCCTCTGAGGAAGTGCCCCCAAAGTGCGGTTCTGTGACCACCTGCATCAAAATCATCAGAGTCGCTCGCTGTAAATTCCGATTCCCGGGCCAACACACAGTCCGGTTCAGAAAGTCTGAGATGGGGTCGGGGGTCCGCCCACGGACCCCACTTTAATAAACGCTGCTCAAAGGACTCGCTCTCTTCCCACGACGCGGGACGAAAGGGGAGGGGTTGGGACACCAGAAAGCCCGCGGGTGCCCCCGCGGCCCGGGATCCCCGAATCGGCCCGAAGCCCGAGCCTGCAGCCCGGGGCGCCCATGATATCGGCGCGATCGGGCCCTTCCTCGGGGCGCCCCGCCGCCACCCGGGCCCGCGGCCCACCCGGCGCCCCAGTCCTCTTGCACGGGAGGGGCCAGGTTGGCTGTCTCCCCGACTGACCTGCGGCCAGCCGGGCCCTCTGCACCGCCGCCGGACGCCGCGGGGCCCGACGCGGAAGTGAGGGCCTCTTCGGCTGCTCGGCAACTCTTGGAGCAGCACGGCTCCAGCGGCGCCCCCGTGCGGCCCGGCCCGGCGGCTGCTGCAGCCGGAACGAGGGAGGCCCCGCCCCGGACACACCCGGCCCCGCCCCCAGCCTGGTCCCGCCCCTCCGACCGCCTTAGCCTGTGGCCGCTCAGAGCAGAAGTGAAAGGGTTTTGGTACCTGAAGGGAAAGGCAAGACCTGGAAGCGAGATGCCACCTGGGCTCTTGAGGAACATGGTGTCCGTTCCGAGGCTGCTTTTACACATGAAGAAAAGAAACGACATTGAAGTTGCGATTGTTCAGGGTCAGTCAAGTGGTAAGAGGTGGTAAGAGTTAGGAAGAGTTATGTTTGCTCACTCTCAGGTGGGGGCCCTTCGCTCCAAACTGGGCTGCTCAGTGCAAAGATTTAGTAAAATATTGCTTGCACTTGGATAAGCCCATTCGGGTTGTGTTTGTAGTTTACAAAGCTGTTTCACACTGAGCATTCTTGTTTGAGTCTGTGTATTACCCCATACTTCTATTCCCATCACCGCGAAGAAAATTGAGGCAGGAGCAAACCTTTAGTGAACACTTATGTACACAAGACATTATGCTGAGCCCTTTAGTTGGCAATTTAATTTTATCTTAACCACAACCTCAGAAGAGTCCTTCCAGATTCCAGCAGCACCCTATCTTGTGCAAAAGACTTTATTGGGTATTTCAAGATGAATAAAACACAGTCCTGTTTTCAAGGTACTTTTCTAGAGTCAATCATAATTGGTTCCCAGTTCATCTGGGTCTTAGAAGTGAATAAACCAGTAAGAGGTAAGCCTACCTACCCCCTCAGATAATAATAGTCCCTTGACAGTGGTAAGGTTGATTCATCCTATAAATTGAGCATTAGCCTGGACCACATACTAGGAGTGAAGGACTAAACAAGACCATCAATGCCCCATGGCACTTACATTCTAGTGCAGGGGTCAGAAAATTGCTTCTGGGAGCACCTGGCTAGCTCCCTCCTAAAGCATGTGACTCATGATCTCAGGGTTGGAAGTTCCAGCCCCATGTTAGGGGTAGAGATTACTTAAATAAAGAAAACTTTTTCTATAAATTAGGCTCTGTGGGCCATACACAGCTACTCAACTTTGCTGTTGTGGTGTTAAAAGCATAGTATATAAATGAGAGTGGCTGTATTCCAACTTTAGTTGTGGACACGGGAATTTGAATTTCAGGAATTTTCATGTATTCTGAAATATTCTTTAAAAAAATTTTTTCCGGGGTGCCTGAGTGGCTCAGTCGTTTAATCATCTGATTCTTGATTTCACCTCAGGCCATGATCTCACGATTTGTGTGTTAGAGTTTGAGCCTCACGTCAGGCTCTGTGCTGTTGGTACGGAACCTATTTGGGATTCTCTTTCTCTCCCTCTCTGCCCCTCCTCAGCTCATGTGCAGGCACTTCCCCTCACACAAAAAAAATTTTTTTTAACTTTTTCAAACACTTAAATATGTAAAAACCATTCTTAGATCATGGGCCATACAGAAACAATTGGCTGTCTATGGGCCATAATTTGCCTACTTCTGTTCAAGTGGGAGAAATAGATACTAAACTAAATAGTTACAGATAGTGGTAACTACTTGAGAGTAGATAGGATAATGTTCGGTGGAGATGATGGCTGGGGTGGAGAAAGCCCTGGATGCTGATGAAGGGACATTTAAGTTGAGCCCACCCTCTGAAGAGATGGAGGGGAAAGTAATTTATGAAGAAGGGAAAGCAAGCAAAAAGGCACCAAGGCAGGAAAGGATTTGACAATTTGTAAGAAGAGAAAGAACACTATTGTGGCTGGAGCGTGGTGAGCATGAAGACAAGGAGGAAGGTGATATGAGATGAAGCTAAAAAGATAGGCAGGAGCCATGTTTTAATGTACTTGTGGTGGTTGTGTGAGTTTAAGTTTTACCCTAAGCATCATGGAAAGCCATTGAAAGGTTTAAGGAAGGGAAGTGGCATGATTGGTTTACTATTTAAAAAAAAATCACTCTGGCTACTGTGATGAGAAAGGATTGGAGAGGCATAGATGACAGTAGGCAGCTCGTTGCAATAATCCAGGGGAGAAATGGCATAGCTTCTACTTAGTGATGATGGCAATAGAGAGAAGTAGATGGCTGCAAGATATATATTTAGGAAACAGAATGTAAAATTGCTGACAGTTCAACTATGGTGTGTTAGTTCAGTTTCTTTGAGAAACTGACTGTAAGATCAGATTAAACATGCAGAAGACTTATTGGGGAAGACACCTGTGAGGAGAAAACAGGGAGAGCTCTGAAGGCGCCTGGGAAAACCTTTAGACTGAATGCTGATTCAACTCTCTTGGAAGACAGGGAAAAATGAGTAGGAAAAGTTGTAGATATGATGTAATTCTAAGAATCTTTCAAGAAAGCCAGTGGGGAGTGCTCAAGCCAAGGTCCCCCATCAGAGGAGTCCTGTGTCTCCTGGGAACGGACCTGCATTAGTGACTCTCTCTCACTCAGTAACTGGCTGGGAGCAATCAACAGGATGTGCAACCTGGATCATGGTGATAGATTTCAGAGCTCAGCAACTGGAGCCATCAGCCAGTAATGCTCCCTGTAATCAGAGATCTGAGAGATGTATTTTCATGGCTGCCATATATGGGAAAGGGAAAATAGAGGGTCACTTATAAATTGTTGGCTTGATCAACTAGCTGATGGTGCCATTTAGTGAAACGGTGATTTATGGGAGCGATTGGAAACTGGACTTAAGACTTTAATGACTGGGACATTTACTAGACCAGGTAAATAGATTGCATAGCAATTGAATAAATCTGGAGGTAAGGAGTGAAGTTCTGTGCTAAATGTGTGAATTTGGAAGTCATCACCTTTAAAGCCATGGGACTGGATAAAATCACCTTCTCAAAAAACAGGTAAATAAGAAATTTGAAGGAGCACTGTCTCCAATACTTAGAGTTCAGACTTAGAAGGAAAAGTCAGAGGGGAGAAGAGTATGGAGCAGCAGGGAGGAAAATGTCACTTCTGTTAAATGCTGCTAAGAGGTCAAGAGTCCCTTAGATTTGGTAGTATACACATTCTTGGTGGCCTTGACAAACGCAGTTTCAATACTGTGATGAAGAGGGGCACCTGGGTGGCTCAGTCAGTTAAGCGTTCGACGTCAGCTCAGGTCATGATCTCACAGTTCGTGGGTTCAAGCCCCGCATCGGGCTCTGTGCTGACAGCTAGCTCGAAGCCTGGAGTCTGTTTTGGATCCTGTGTCTCCCTCTCTCTCTGACCCTCCCCTGTTCATGCTGTCTCTCTCTCTCAGAATTAAATAAAAGACTTTAAAAAAAATACTGTGATGAAGATGCAAGGCCAGATAAAAGTGGATTGATGCTGGAGTCAGGCTCCAGCAGGTCCAGGGGTCCCTGAAGGATGGACGGTGTTGGCAAGAGAGGGATGAGAGAGCCACAAGATTCTTTCTGGTCACCATGCAGGCATCTCCACACTGTCTGAGACTTAGCTTTATTTTATGATTAAGTATTTGGGAGACAGCACAGAAGTGGCATTCTGATGATAAATTTTTTGATCGGTAAAAACTCTCCAGATTATTGATATGCATAATTGTATTATTATGATTTAGATAAGGGTTCTCATGCTCATCATATGAGGAAGTAAGGTATCTTTAGCATTCAAATACAAACAGGATAATGTTTTTAGCATAGTAAAGGCAAAAGTTAGTTCTTTGTGAGCAGGGGTTTATGGCCTGTTTATCACTTACTAGGAAGTATTAAGAAAAACAGGTTTTGGGGCACCTGGGTGGCTTAGTCGGTTAAGCGTCCGACTTTCGCTTAGGTCATGATCTCGCGGTTCGTGGGTTCGAGCCCCGCGTCGGGCTCTGTGCTGACTGCCAGCTCAGAGCCTGGAGCCTGTTTCTGTTTTTGTTTCTCTCTCTCTCTCTGACCCTCCCCTGCTCACGCTGTCTCTCTCTCTCTCTCTCTCTCTCCTAGAAATAAATAAAACATTAAAAAAAAAAAAAAAGAAAAACAGGTTTTTCAGGAAACACAATGTTTGCTTCCATAACCACAAAAGAAAACATCTAAACATTAGCCACAGGGCTTATAGTTCCTATAATGTCATCCATGCCCAGGAATAGTACATCAGTCTGTACCAAAGTTATTATTTTATTAATGTAAACCCGAAGGCAATAGCTGGCCTTTTTTGTGTCATCCATTACTCAGTCCTGATCACTATTTCCAGACCACTAAGCACCAACATTTTTCCAAGCTACAACAATTCCCCTCACAAGGTGCAATCATCATACCAAGGCCAGAATAAGTCACTCCCAGATGCCAATCAGCAAGGTGCTTTGGGGGTCAGTGCTCAAGCAGACAGAATTGAGTGGGGGTGGGTATCAATCGTCATCTGACAACAAGAGCCTTGCAAATTTGCCCTAACCCTCACAAGGAGTTTTCTCAACTAGTGAGTTCAGAGTGGCTCCCAACAGGTTGAAGGGTGAATGTGCGATGGGAAACTGACTATAGAGAAGACTTGTGGTAAAGAGAATGAGAGAGAAGTGGGGCTGTCTGTAGTTAAAGTGGGATATGAGGTCAGAGAAAGAAGCTAGGATGAGTTACTATAGCAGGTTATGCTGGTGGGAGTGATTCAATGGACAGGTAGAGATTGGTGATGCAGGAGAACAAAGGGACCACTGAAGGAATAGGATACTTGAGAAGACAAAAGGATACTTGGAGCAGCACAG